CATATCTCAGGAAGTACTCAACCGATTTCAATGAAATTCGGTACATAATATTTTCTTAACAGCATGATGACATGTACCAAATATGGGTGAAATCGGTTCACAACCACGCCTGAAATCTCGATTATCACTTTATCATGCGAGAGTATAAAATGTTCCGTGACACCCGAAGTTAGCCCTTCCTTACTTGTTTTAATCTAAAATTGGTCCAAAGCAATCGAAAATATCTACTATATATAAGATATAGAGCCGATTTTGTTAGGTTTGCAACACACAAACAGACGCCACCCATTACATACGTACATATGTAGTTAAATAGCTGCATCTATACATACATACTTACATATACATATGTATGATATGTATACAAGTAAGATGAAAAAGTGCAACCGCCTCAACAAGTTGCAAAATCGCTGAAAAAATCAGCGCGCAAAGAGCAAATGAAAAACTGGTAGAATTTACAATTGCTAAAGCGCCAATAACAGCAATATTTAACTGCAACTGACAGCCAGGCGTAAACATAGCTACATACATACATATTTATATACATGCATACGCATGTGCACACCTACAAGCATTACAGCATTAATATCTGACAATCGATTTGCCGTTGTACTTGAATTTGTTCAACACGCCGGTCTAGCCAAACAGCATACGGCATATGTATCTGAATTGACGATCGCTCTGGCCGAGAGCTCTGCTTCCACTCTTTAAAGACCTTGTATGCGAGTATTTTCATACATACTTACATATGTATGTAGATATGTATTCAAACGTGTTGAACTCCAGCAGCAACAAGCTCTGTCCTGCAGGCGCCTCTTATAACAGACAAGGTGTGCATTGTACATATGAATATGTGTACATACTTCTTTGTAATCATTCCACTTCCGATTTCTACAACTTCAAAGTATACAACTATTTACATATGTAGAAGAAGTACAAACATACATCATCAATGATTGCCAACCATATATCGAACGAATGTTTAGTTGAGTGAAGGCAGTGTTTTTGTTCAGAACATATCCTCGATTGTTGTTGTAATATGCGCTTCCTTTCCTTTAATACGGCTTATCCTGTTTTTCTCTTCCCTCGAATACTTACATAATAGTGTATACATAAATATATACATATGTACATACGTATGTAGGTGATTAATTGTACGAGAGTGCAATTCGCTTCGCAGATTGTTGTTGGTTGATTGGTCCAACTCACTTGGCTTTTTGCAAGTAGGCCGAATGTTGTGCATACAAATTCATATTCTCAGGCATGCTGGGGTGGTACAGTGTCTAGCAGCAATTTTAGAAGACACAAGGCCAGTCAAGAAATAATATTTTTATACAGCGCAAAGAAAGAAAACAAGTTAGAATATGTTGTATAGAATAGATAAAAAGCTTTGAAACAATACCGGAATTCAATGACAAAATCAAATGGCTAAAAGAGCGTGAGGAAATGAGAGAAACCCTCGTATATTTCGTAAGAAATAAAAATTGAATTTAAAAATAAAATTTGCGCTTAGTCAATTTCTGATCCTTCTAAAATTATTAACTATTTGTGAATTACTCTCCTACAAGGATTGTTTTAATTTTACAGGAGTTGAAGCGTCATATCGAAAACTCGATATATTGGGTAGTCGAAAAAGTATTTTCGTATTTTGTCAATAGATGTCGTTGCAATCGACATCCAGTGCTGCCAATCACATTGTGTTTTCGTTGCCAAGTGGATAGCCTTTCTAATCGATATTCGTTGTGAAAAAGTGGAAATTGTAAATAAAACACAAAATATTTAAGTATTAATCGGTGTTTGTATTTTCTCCAACGCAATCCTCACGAGATGTAATACAGTGATAACAAAGATTTTTGGAGTCCTCAAAACGCTTTTCACAAGCACTTTTAGGGATGGCCTTCAGCTCCTTCAGTGAATTTTGTTTTATCTCTTCAATCGACTGAAAACGGGTTCCACGGAGCGGCAATATCAATTTGGGGAGCAAGAAAAAATCACACGCAGCCAAATCTGGTGAATACATTGATTGACCGAAGGTATTTATTGGGTTTTGGCTTTAAATTCGGTCCCAATCGTGGCTTGGTGCGATGGTGCATTATCATCGTGTAAAATCCATGAATTCTTCTTACACAGTTCCGTCCGTTTTCGACTTATGTATGTTCTCAAGTAAACGGCTCAATACGAGCAAATAGAACTCCTTATTGGTACCGACTGTGCCTCCGAAACAAATTCCTGATGCGCCAAATCACAAATATCAAAGAAACTATGAACATCACCTTAATTTTTGAAAGGCTTTGGCGTGGTTTTTGTTTTCGACTAGTTTTTTTCCTCCATTCCTATGAATGTTTTCTTGTTTGCATATCAAACTCATAAACATATGTCTCTTCGGCAGAACTCTACGACTTTATCATCGAAATTCGTACAATCAAGTATATTCAAAGAGACTTGCTTACGGTACTTTTTTTGAAAAGCATTTAGCTTGATCGAGACGAGTCGAGCAAGAACGCCAGGTTTCATACCCAAATTATCCACCAAAACCATTCGCACGAACTCACGAGAGATGTCGAGCTCTCTTTCTATCTCTCTAACCCTTGCCTGACGATTTTCAAGAACCAATCTATTTGTAGCAAAAGCTAATTGCTTTGTTTTATTTTCAACCATCGTCAAAATTTAAATAATAAAAATGAAAGAAGCTATAAATAACTTTAATTTAACTGCATTTTAAAGAATTAGTCAAGCGGTCCACTGTGCAGCCGACACTGCTTTCGTATCTTGCTTAACTGCTGTGTTCAATCATTTTTTCGGCAGGCAATAATCATTCGCTTGTTGCACTGCTCACATGTTGCTATTGTACAATTTGTTGGTGCAATGCTTGATGTGAGCGTCGCACCATCAAAGCGGCGACATTGACTTCAATTTGCGAAAATTGATCGGTGTTGCTGATGCAAGTGGCCGGGGCAAGTTGCTGTGCTTGCTAATTTTGCTTTTCTTTTATAATTTTGTGTTGGGTTTTCAGCAAATCGCTTGTTACAGCGCACTCACTTCATCTATAGAGAAGTAATTGCGGTGTTCAAGCGCGTTGCATATACAAATGAATATAGTATACATGCTGCATGTCTGTAATTATATATGTACTTATGTACAAATGTACATACGTGTGGACGTACTGAAATTGGTGTAAACACGTAATCCATTGGTAGCAGATTCTCATTAAAAGCAAGCACCCAAACGTTTTAGTGTTTACTGCGCCATTTAGATGAACATTTTTTGATATTTTTTCATTCGTTTGGTTTGAATCAAGAGTTTAATAGAAGATTCTCGGTCGTATAAAACTCGGATTATCACGGAAATGAGATTGAAATTACTGTACCGCTGGGTTCTTTGATTGCTGGTGTCTTAAGGTCCGCATTGGCTTTAGGATAGATTCATTAACTACTAAAATTACCGTTAAGCGTGGTAAACTGTGGATAAACTCCTATAGTTTATTCAACCAAAATATGCATGAATAAGTAGGTTAATTCGGAGTTGTTGTTATTGTAAATTTGTTTAACACAAATCTGATATATATATTTATCAGATAAATTTTAATGAAATATAAAAAAAACATGTCCACGTGCGGTCATTTGAACATTTTGTATGAAAATATTAATGAAAAAGTTGTATTCATGAAACCTGTCCGGTTATGAGAGCTGTCTGGTTATGAGAACGATTCATATTGGGGAATTTCACTGTACATACTTTTATGAGCAAAAGTTTTTATTAGTTGCAAGTCATTAACTATTGCTGGCATCACATTAAATTAACAGTAAGCTGGCGTTTTACTCACCTTTATTGCTGTTGATAACTTGCGCTGCGACAAAATTCTTTACTTTTTTACACTTGTGTCGTGCGTTGGCATTTACATACATATTTATTATTTTAATTTCACAAAACTGGATTTCCACTTAAAGTCAAATCAAATGCAAATATTTTACATATGTATGTACATTCATACATACATATGCGCTAGTGTGCCGACTTTCTTTTTAATTAAAAATCAATTAACCTTTTGATTTAACTGCGCAGCTTCGCGTGTCATTGAATTTGCAACGGATTTTAATGCAACAGAACATACATATGTATGTATATAGTAAATATTTACACATATACTTACACATACATATGTATGTACACTTGTTCGTATTGAGCGTTGTTGTTTTTGGTGCAGCAAACAAAGCTTTTGCACTTGCCGTTGACACAGTTGTTGTAGTTGCCTGCAGACTTTATTTGTTCACTTATGTTGTTGTTGTTTTTTCCCCACTAAACTTCGGAGCTAAATAGCGTTGGTTCTTTAATATTTTTTATTGTTGATGTTATGCCTTCAATTGAGTTATTTTGTTTATGTGCATTTTTTCGTTTTTCATTGTTTTGAATTTTTTAGCGCAAAACTATCTTAACTTATTTTGTTATTACAGATTTTTTCTTTTCTCGCCAATGGCTTTTATGGGCTTCTTCATTGGCAGAACCGCACACAGCAACACCTACCTATTTGAAACATTTACGCTATTTGTTGGGGAGCAATAACCGGTTTCTAGCATCAACAAATGCACTGACATTAACGACCGACCGCACGTCCGACGAGTGCACTCATATTCACACATATACATATGTATATGTATGCATGTAGAGTATGTAAATAAGAAGGTAAGCCAGAAAGCCAAGTAACGAATAACGTTGGGAAGCCAAACGTAAAATAAATAGGTAGGTGAAAAATCAAAACACTACGTAACGCAACTAGGCAACGGTTTTTGGGGGGGTAGGACTTGTGGGCACTTCGTTGTTAGTAAGCAAAATTCCAATGTGCGCGCCCTGTGACAACAAAGAATGCTGCTGCACTGTAACTTCGTTCAGGGATAAGAGCACAACACACAAAAGAGCAGCGCACCGAAGGCCTACCAGCAAAAATCGCACTGAAACCACACAAAATATTTCACTGGAAGGAGAATATGCACTGCAACACCAATTGACTTCTAATCACTAACATTTGCTTTGGAACAGATGCAGTTTTCTTGTTTACATTTATTTTCTTCTCCTATTTGCACAATTCACTAATTTGATTGGTGGCGAGCACACAAAATGCTTTGCATAGATAAAAGCAACAGTTGCTAGCGATATTTTGTATGGTTCTTATATTGTTTCGTGCGTACGACGGTTTGCAAGTGAACGACGACAATCGGATTCAACAACTCAAAGAGAACTGAAGCCATGAGAGCGCGTACAAGTGGTGAAGTACCTGTTTGATTCAACAGCTCTGCAGCTGGTGAGCCGGCTCAGCGGTTGGCGCACTGTATGGCTAGTTAACTAGCTGCTTAGTGGATTGGTGACTAATGTACATTGGAAATGTAAAATGGAAATTTATGTGTGGGTATTGGAATATTTCGAATTGGAAGAGTTTAGCGGAAATGGCCACTGGGCGGTTTTTAAAAGAGTTAAATATCTGCTCTTTGTATGACAGATTCGAATTCCGAAAACTTAATAACCAAAAACTTAATTAAAGTTGAAATTGTTTATAACACACTTACGCATACATACGTATATGTAGATAACGACCATACATAACGTTCCCACGACAGTCGGGTCCACGAAAACCGGAACGGACTGGGATTTTTATACGGCCAAGGACTGTCAACTCGACAGAATTCTGCCGTTACAACAACAACAATATATAACCGAAACATTTGTATACATATGTATTTACATATGTACATACATATGTATATATGTACATATTTGTAAGCAGTTTATTGTTTTATTTGCTGTGTAGCAACGAGAAAATTGGCGTTGCCATATGCATTAATAGTTAAAATTCAATTAACTCAATTACAAATGCAAATATCGAAAAAACTGATTGATACCTAGATGTTAAAAGCAACAACAACCATTATTTAGAGCATTTCAGTATTTATGCGCTTATTAAAAAATTTCTCTTTTTAAGCTAATCACAACGGAACTTACTTATTTTATATCCGCCCTTTTCTTGTTCGAAATTTCGGAAAGAAGCAGTACGCCATCTTCATGTTGAAATGATATGTGGGTAAAGGAGACAAGTCGATAACAAAATTAAAATAAAGTATTCGACATCTAAAATGCAAGCCAAATTGATACAAAAAACTTGAAATTTAGTTTACTTATTGATAACGATACACTAAATCATATTGCATATGATTCTGCTATCAGATTTAGCCAAACTTTTAACTAGAATTTAAATTTTTGTTTCAGTAATTTTTTTTTATCTTTTTTTCCTGCTAATATCAACTAATTATCGTTCTTGTTGCATCGGTAGAAAAATTATTATTTGTTAAATGCTTCTGGGACCTATACTTCGTAAGATATCAACATTAGTAATTGTAGTTACCTTGACGATTTTCCGAATAGTAACATTGCCATTAAAAATTACCTTCTCAAAATACTCTCTATAAGAATAAGTCAGCTTAAAACGTGAATAAATGATATCACTATCTTCATTTTGTGAAAATATCTTGTCAAATAAAAAAATATTCTTATAATAGTTATTTTCAACTTACCAAGTCGAAGAATGTTTTACAAGAATCTTAAAAGAAAATAAGGGGCCCCAATAAAGACCTAGACTATCTAGTATTTAATTAAATTAAGCTTATTGTAGCTTAATGACTCGAGTCCTCAGAACCTGAACAGATTCCTTCCAGTCATCGCGTGTAAACTTGTCAGCAATCCTTTATTTGGGACATCTTTTTCACTGCTTCCACAACAAAATATCAATGTGTCAGCATTTCAAAGAATTATTTAAAGTGCAGCGCAAAGCAAGGAACAGATTTAGAAATAAATACACAAGCATACTGCAGGATTCTCACAACTCATAACTCGGTTATTTCTAACTCTGTTGGATCGGGAAGTAGTAACGTACTTACTGGACTATATTTTTATGAACAAGCATATTTGTTTTTTGTGCATATTAAATTCGTAGCAAACAATGTTTTGAAAAAATAGAGTACTACACTGCTGAGCATATTTTTTTTTTTTTTTTTTTTTTGCATGACCCGATCCACACCCAATCAACAATTCCTGGCATATATTTAAATTTAAAGATAATTTTTTATTTGTTTAAAAAACAGGTTTGCAGGTCAGATTAAAGTTAATTATTAACATAATCATTTAAATTCTTGATGGGTACAACATCTGTAAATAGAAGACCATTATTAATGAAAAACATATTCTCTTAATACCAAATATCACATCGGGACTTACAATGCGAATGCGGTGACCCATGGCGTGACCAGGCAAATTTCTGTTGAAACGTGCACGCACAGATCCAGTGTTTCCATGCAGGCGGGTCACTTTACCCCAGATGGCGCGAATTCTGGTCTTACGTTCTGGGTGTTGTGGCACGCACTTCTTTGTCTTAGCTTTGTAAACATACACACAACGCTTGCCAATGTAGAATTGACCGTGTTCCTTACGACGAGCACCTTCAATCTACGAATTAAAATTATTTATTATTTATAAATAAACGTTACACCTTTATTCATTGCCTATACATACCTTCAAGATAGCCTGGCTTTCGTGTTGGTTGCGAAGACCACGCTTATAACCAGTGAACACTGCCTTGGCAAAAAGACGGCCATGACGCTTATATTTCGGTGCAGCCACAGGGGTAGTAGGTTTCTCAAATTTGGGAGCTTTAGCTTTGGGTGCCTTAGCCACCTTTGGTGCTTTTGACGCTGGTGCAGCAGCGGGTTTTGCTTGTGTGTCAGCCATCGTTAACTACAATTTATTAAGAACAAATATGTAATTTATCACGTTTTATTATTGAACTGCCTAAACAAATTATTATACGCAAGTAGTCGACCACATTAAAAGCAAACACTTTCCCCAATATTACTTATGCACAAATAAACCACTACACAATTGGTATTCACAGTATGAATTTTAATCTAAGAACATCAGACTTCTTTGTTTAGCTTTCTCATAGCCAACTACTTGCGTGCACAGAAAAACATTTAATTTCTTGTTTTCCGTAGACATTTTAACGAATTAGAAGAGTTTTTCCATATATAAAAAATATTTTATTTGGGAGAAATAAAATTCGCGTACGTACCGGAAACTTGACAAATGGAAAGAAAGGAAAGGAGAAGGCATGAAGGCAGCAATGAAATGTCAAAATCACACAATTGATGGGAAATTTTTTACCTCATCTGAAATCCCTCAGAAAAATCATTATGAATGAGATGCCAATTTGTAAAATCTAACCTTATATTCTTGTGTTGAAGGGACAATAATTACTTAATATATATTTTTTCGTATCTACGTGTAATAATCTTTAAATATATTATAACATAACATTAGTTCTATAATTTCAAAAATATATTGTGTATCTTATTTGACTATTATTATTTTAGTTTTAAAATATAAATCACTGCCGTAAAAGCCACAAGCAAAGAGTTTACATATATCAATTCGTAATTTCTATAATCGTTTTCATTTTAAATTTTTCGATTATGTTGTTGTTGTTGTAACGGCAGAATTCTGCCGAGTTGACAGTCCTTGGCCGGATAAAAATCCGGGTCCGTAGACCCGACTGTCGTGGGAACGGAATTTTTCGATTATCACGCTATCTAGTTTTGTTCGTAGTTCCGTAACCGACCTGTTTACTGAGTATCTTGAAAAATATATTTATTTAACTTTGGCTTTGGATGCACCTACAAACATATTCCCTCCTAAAATGTTGGGAGCTGAATAATGCTGATAATATATATACTTATCGTTTTCCATTTCTGAAATAAATAAAATTATTAGTCAGTGTGTAAATTATATTGAGTTATGGCCAATAAGACGGCAACACAAATGCTCAAATCTTCCAATATGCCAGATCAGAAAAAAGTGAAACAAAGGGAAAATTCCTTATTTTATTTTACATTCAAATAAATTGAAAGTTACGCTTTTAAAAATTATTAAAAATTATATTATGTGAAAAAATTCGTAATTATTGCTGAAAAAAATTATTTGTTACCAATAAAATAATATTTTATAAATGTAACCCTTTGTATTAGCAATGACTTATATTTTTTTTTAACTTGGCAATACTTCAAAAATATCCACGAAAAACAACAATAAGGAAACAAAACAAAAGCATTTCACCATTCTAAATAAAAAACTTGTGTTGTGTGGTTGTGTCACGAAGTTTGCCTTGCTAATATAAGTAAAGTTGCACTTTAACTTGGTGAAACTGCGTAGTAAATAAATTTAATACAAAAATGAGCAAAAAAGTTGATCATCCAGAACTGCGTGCACAGTTAGAAACTCTAAACAACAAAGAATTGCATTACAAGTGCGTTGAACATGGCATGAATGTACCAGTTGCCGACTCAACACGCGATGTCATCATACGCAAATTAATAAAATCGATCACCGGTGATTCGAACTTAGCATCGCCTAAGGCCAGTAAAAAGCAAGTTGCTTCGCCAAGTGAGCGTCGTAAGACCGTAAATGTGACTGTGCATGTTTCCAGCGATGAGGAAGAAGCGGGAAGACAAAAGCAACGATCCGCAATTAAAAATAAAACGCGCACCCAATCCCCCAAAGGCCACAACGTAACATTTAATTCAGTGCTGAATAATAATCGCAGTAATATAACTGCTACAAAAGCCACATCGGTACATCAAGTATCCAAAAGTGCTGACACAAATGCCAATATCGGAATCGGATTTGGTAACAGGGCAAGAAATGTGCCTCTTGAAGTACATAATCTAAATAATATTAATCACGATATTGATGAAATAGAAATTATTCCCAGTAATCTCGATGATGGATATAAATCTACTTCAACTAATTTGAATTTTAGTCAGACACGTACTTATGGGCAAGATCGGAGAGAGATTCCTAACAGTACCTACAAATCGTCATTACCAAATTTGGGATTCAGCCAAACACGCACTCTGAACACTACTCAACAAGAAAATGAGGCCGAGATACCTAGACAAGGATTCTTTTCAACTCCTCCGGAACATACCATTAATAGACCAGTTGGTTTCTATAGTTCAGGATCCCCAATTAATTCTTTTAATATTGAAAATATGGCCAGTCATTCCTCGACACTTGGTGGTAGTTTGGGAGGCTCATACTCAAAGGATCCAGTATTTAAACGTCCAACAGCAATTTCTAAGTCCAATGTAACTAATACCACTTACAATCAGGCGGATGCACAACGTTTATATCCGCGATTACCAACTGATTTGCCCACGCCCTCATTATACACAGT